ATCCGAAACTGCTCGGGCGGCCACAAAGCATCTTGGGGCGGGCGTATGCACAGCTCGGATTTTCGGCCGGGAGACGAGGAGAGAAGCAAGGTAAGTCTATGGAGCAGCGTGCACCCGCATGCAGACACCGTGGGACAGGAAGTACCAGCAAGGACAGAGGAGTCAGCGCTGGATCGGAGAGCCGCCGCACCGCTGGAGGGACAAATGAAAACATCAGGAAAGAAGAAGATCGGATTAAGAGACATCATTTAAGGTAAGTGCTAACATTAACATTAGGGGGAGGGAAAACAAATTTGACTTGAATGTCAGTTTAAGTGGGCATGGCAAGGAATATTCAGCCAGGGTTATGGCGGTGCCTACAAATCCTTATGCATTTAAAACCTAAGTCCAGCTCCTACTGTGACCACAACACCCACCTCTCCTCCCTGAAACCCCAACATCCTTTTTCATAAAAAAAAAAAAGTAAGTGTATACCATACAATAAATCCCGCAGTTTTTGGTCTGGTCAGGTGACATCACTGGTTCTCTTCTTCCCATTCTAACAGTGGGCATATGTAAATACTGTAGAGCATGGCATGACATAATGATGTGGTCAATATTCCCTGCAGCATTCTGTAAACCCTGGGCAGCTATATAATCTAATCGTATAAAAGAAGTCACAAGCACACCAAAAATCCTTCAGAACCATGTCAACCATGTTTTTGAAAGGATTTTTGGTGTGCTGGTGGCATCTTTCATATGATTTGTGCAATTAGCAGTGCCATCCGCAGTCATTACAAGCACCCTTCCCTGAAGATTGGGAAATCCGGTAAGGAGTGCAACATCTATATATTCTGAGCTGTATAATCTACCCCAAGGTAGAGTGTCTAACACACACTGTGCTCACCTGAAGTAGATTGAATGGCGCTGGTTGCCATTCAAACTGGCAGTGGGCCACCGCTGAATTGCATTGTATTGCTTTATTATTTTAACCCCTGCAGGGCTTCTCCATTTAAACAAAAATCATGACCAGAAGTTGGGCTTTAACGTAAAGGTAGTTTGTTCATTTCTACATTAGAGCACTTGCAGTGGATTTGTTGACTTGAATTACTTTTGAACTTTAAGTAAAATATCTTGTTCCCCTATCTCTCTTCACCTCTGGCTCTCTGTTTCGATTGCTGCTCTTAAGGGAGCACTGTGCTCCGCGTCTGCTTCACTTGACTTTTATTTATTTACTTGTCCTATCAAAACAAGTTTAATTTAAGTTCACTTTGCTTAAAATGGAACTTTCTTCTTATAAGATAAGAGCAACTGAAACTGATAGATAGGAGGTCATCAGGAGGATGTTTTTCCATCAGATCCTCTTTCTCTATGCCAGAGATATAGGAACAGTGATTAGAATAACACAGGGAAAGACTCCTGAGGCCACATCACTGGAGTCTGCTTGTTAAACCTGCCTCCCTCTCCGTATAATTGTATAAAGTGAATAATGAAATACTATTCTAACTAATAAAATACTGTGTATATTATATGTTCATTCCCTGTCTTTTTATGGATGACGTGAATATGTGACATTTGGATTTTATTTGTCCTGTTAAATGTTATGGTGCAATTACAGTGATCTGCATGCCAGTTATGGGCTATTCTGCTTAACTAAGACATAAATTATTGATTTTTCCCAGTTTACAACTTTAAAAAAAAAAATCTTGCATAACACAGGGCAGTTTCTGCCAACTTTAGGGTATTGTATTCCAACTGTATTGGTATTTGGTCAACTTAATTTTTATTTTCATTCCACTTAATATTCTATTTTTTTTTTAAAGTTACATTTTATATAAATGTGTCGATTTAAAAAGAATCAAACAATTGCTACAAGGTTATTCAGTGTTTTGATATGTGCATTGCATACTGCTGCTGTCTAATAAAAAAGCCCAGCACTACCTCTTCCCTTGATGACTGTTTTTATTCTAAGCCATTCAGCAGTGTGTGTAACCTGAGTTTATGCTATTAGGCTCCATTCACAAATAGCGTTTGCTTTTCCCGCACGGAAGACCGCACGGCACGCTAAAATCTATCCAACTGCTCGGATTCCGCTGGTTTGCGGCTATTACTATAGCCACGAACATGCAGAATCCGGCATAAAATCACGCTTGTACTATTTTGCGGGACGAGCGGTTTCGTACTGCTATGAGAATAGTGGCGAATGGCAGCGAGCGAGCTGCTGGAGCTTCGGCTCATCCACATGTTGGTTCGGCTGACCGAAGTGCAGCCAAAGGCAGCCGATGTATGGCTGATTTCAGCCGATGTATTAGCCGTACAAGCCACAAGTGAATAGCCGAACAGCGTTTGGCTTACTTCACTATGGCTGGGTTATTCACTCAGCTGCCTTCCGCAGCCTTGTGTATAACCCCCTTAGTGTTTATTTGCCAATATCTTTAGTATGTTTCCAGTGTTTGAAGTCAAAGTATAATACGGCACCCAAAAAATATATTAAAAATTGCATAGGTAGAGGTTGTATTTAGTGGAGTTGAGGGATGTCTAGACAATTAGCAGATCCAGAAAAGCAGAGGTTGTATGCAAATCTCTACTTTTCACGTAAAGGTACTACTTGGACCAACCTATTCTGTATTTAGAGCCTCCTTATTGGTCAATAGGGCCTCCAGTAACATTAAAGGTCCAATATGGAGGCACAGGAGATGGAAAGAGTTAGGCCAAGCAGCACTGTTTTCTATAGCACAGAGCAAAACACAATGCATTAATGACATTGTAAGAACAACACCTTGTAATAACAACAATATAATTACGTGGTAATATGTACTGGGTAAAGCTCATAAAACCTTACAGTTTAGGAGAAGGCAGGAAGAAACAATAAAGAAAATAATGATTGTGTATACTGTAGATAATAAGTATAAATATAATATCTGTAAAAAAAAAATCCATGCTAGTTTTTTAACTTAAACTGCAATAGGACATCCAAGAAAATATGAGCAAAAGGTTAAAAGAAGGAGAGCAATCTGGGGAAGAAAGATTGAATTGAATGTCATCAACATAATACTATTGCAATCCAGAGTGAATCAGCTGACCAAGACCAGATGTAAATATGGAGAAAAGTAGAGGGCTTAGTGTCATCTGAAGTGTCATACAGATTTATGTGACAAATTACTGTATATAGATTTGTATGGCAACTGAGCTTATGACTTCTGGTTTGTGCTATGAACAAGTGTTGATCTATGCTCTGTAGACTAAATTCAGCCAGTGTTGATTTTTTCTTCATGCAAGGTTTAATATTATAAATGTAGACGGTAAAAGCAGGATCTGGGTAAGTTATGGTAGACATCTGAAACTTGTTGGATATTTAGAGTGTGTGACTTCCTACACAAAGGATTGAGTTGATGACTGCAATGGGGTCCAGTCATCAACTAAAGAGAGCGTAAAATATAATAGATGGTGTTTTAAATGTAGTGGAAAATAATTCAGGAAAACGCTTATTTAAGTTGTTATCTTTGTATGCTTTTTTATCTAATAAAAAGAGTCAGTAAAGATTTGTAATGTAGTAAAATACATGTTTAACGTCCTGTATGTGGTAGTACGGACATATAGAGGGGAATTTATCAGAACTGGAGCAGACAAAATCTGGAGCAGCCATGCATGGCAACCAATCAGCTTCTATCTTTAATTTTCAAATTTTATCTGAACAAACTGAAGAGAAAACCTGATTGGTTGCCATGCACAGCTGCTCCAGATTTTGTCTGCTCCAGTTTTGATAAATTCCCCTCATAGAGACTGACATATTTTAGGAACAACAGTGATAAATGTTAAAGCAAAACTGTGACTGGTGGCCATCTTTTGTACACCCTGAGTTGAGAACCTCACCTGAGATTAAATGTGCCTGTGATCTTAATGTCATGTAAGAGTGCTTAGGATATTTACAATGTAGCTATTTGGTGAGCTGAAGATCAATATTGATTGAAGATCAGTCTAAATAGTGCTACAAAATCAAACCATCAAAAGGTGATTTTCTCAGCTGAGAATTTAGATCTATTGCTATAAAAGAAGAGGTCTAGACAGACACTATTAAACACAAACCTACAGAGCAGATGGCCTAAAGGATGTGCCTCGTTTTATTGACTGGTTGGATTGAACAACTTACTAATCATCTCGATGGACAACTTGAAACCACAGAAACACAGTATCTAACAAATATAATACTCATGAAAAACCACAGCACTGAGATATCATGTGATGTGGAAATGCAACAGTAGCAGAGTTCCTAACCTGTTCCTACAATACACAGCAGATTAAAGAAACCCTATCGCTGAACAACAAACTTACCATATGATTGTTGTGCATTTAAAGTATTTTATGGATAATATTTACCTTGTGTAGACATCCAAAAGTTCTGGGACTTCTACTGGGTGCTGCCATCTTGGATGTGATGTCAGCAGCCCAAGCAGAGTCAAAGCTGTCACTTAAATGACACTATATTTTATCCTTGTTAGATCCTCCTCTGGCAGCTACATGAAAGGCTATTTAGCGGGGTGAGTGGAGGAGGGGCTGAGCCAGCACAGACGGTAATTAAACAAACCCAAAAGACCAGAGAGTTAAGGCATGGCAGAAGAGAGGGGAACTTTGGCTGTAGTAGGGAATAAAACGTGGCGTGACTGAATTTCCTAGAAAGCTCATAGGCACATTGCAAGTGAATACAAGGTTGTTTGTGGAAATGAAAGACGCTCCAACTAAGTACTTAGATGACCTGATTTTCTGTGCTTTTGCCTGCACTTTTAATAAGCTAGTGGTACATGACACAATAGTTTTTCTTTGCCATACATGCTTTTTTAGATAGACACAAAACCATAGATCATACAGTGTGATAGGACAGGAGGCACACCAAAGAGTTCCTCTTGCTAATATGGACAACATGTTTATTTAAATTCTTAAAATCTTTTCGTTAACATTTCATCTTAATCAAGATGATCAAGAAGTCAAAACATTCACAAATCAACTTCTCTTTTGACTACTTCTTTATGGTCTGTTCTTATGAAAGCTGTCGTGGAAAACCCCAGAGCCGTACTCTGCTTACACCTCCATCTGGAGCAATAGTGACCCTCACATGAGTCACAACCTCTTGCAGTGAAATTAAAGTTCCCTCAATGAAATGCCTCTTGTGGGGTTGAAGCTAAAGATATAGAAATACATAAAAATAAATTAAATTAACATTTTACAGAATAATCCCATATCTGCCATGAAACAGTTCAAGCAAATGCTTTTCTGGTCTTTTACAACTGGCAAGGTAGACATGTAAGCTGGAAAAATTAGGTTCGTATATTTCGTTATTCGGGTGCGGAATTCAATTTGGTTCGGGGTTTCGGATTCAGACTAAATCCGAATTTTCATTAGTTTCAGATAAATTTATGAATGAATATTTGTTACGACTACCACAAAAAACCATATGCAAATATGAATACTTAAGCTGAATCTCCTAGATCTGAATAGCATTCGGGACCCGATTTTCCAATTGCATCCCGGAGCTCCTGATTGCCATTCGGGTCTGGGAGCCATATACATATAATACTAAATAATAGAGATATAGTTTTAGATATGCTGCGTAAATAGGAACTCATAACAAAGTAGGAGTTTTTCAATTTTACCCAGAAAAGTGGAAATACACTTTAAATATAAAAATTGTCTTTACTGATATTAAGAAAACTAGGGAATAGCATGGTGCAGTCAAAAAGTCAAATATTAACAAGTTCACTTTTTGTAACAACTTAATAACACTCCAATGCCCATATTATCTTCTTCTGTTGTTTAATTCACCAGCTATAGTTCAACTTTAACATTGTGACAATCTCCAAGAGGGAGATAAATGCTTTCCCAGGGGGAATACAGAATTTTGGCTTTACTCACATAGCCCCAGTGCCCCTTTCCACTAGTTCCCAAAGATTGCCTACCGGAATGCCCACATCTGTCCTTTCTCTCGCTAAGTTTTTTAAGCTCCCGCCAACTCTTCTCCCATGACTGGTGCAACCTTCAGCCAATCCCATGTGAGGGCAGTTCCACCGCCTATCTAGCTACTACCCTGTTCTGCCCCCTTTAAATCAATTGGCATGGGGCATCTGATGCTGTCTAAATGTATCTGTGCACACTAAGATCATTAGCTAATCCTGCCAACAACCTCAAAGGGGCATCTTTTGACCAAACGTCTAGAGCCTAGATTTTTAAAACGTTTTTAGATGAACTGATGAAAAGTTAGAGCCTCTGTCCAGTTGTAATTGTAGTCTGGGTCTCCTCTAGAAATATTTCCATCCAATTCCTGCCATGTTGACCACACCAGAAGTAGGGAGAATCAGACTAATCAGACACCAATTTAAAAAACATACAGAGTTTTTAACTCCTCCCCACCCTGCTAGACAATAGGGCTTTATTGCTCTCTGTACTCCTCTCAAAGAGATTGCTTTCCCTTTCTATCCTGGTGCCCGCATTGCAAGTGAAGTGAAATCTCCTCAAGGAAGTCACAGAAAACAATTTAGGAAATGGAAAAAAAAACTTCTAACCTTTCCCCATTTTATCACAAAATGAAAATGTTTTGGCTAGAATGGGGATTTCGCATAGCCATCTAAAGAGAAAACAGCAGCGTTACATTTAGGCAGCTTGGTTATAAAGTTTTATTGCATTGAGAGGTCAAAGATTTTTTACACATAAATGATGCAAGGGCTGATATAGCCATAAAACAGACTGCAATTTAACCTCAGGCTTTGTGGACACTGCAAGGAGCATGAAACTAAAAGGAATTTTATATATATACACACATCATTGTTGCTCTAACTTCTCCTCCAAAAATTGCAAGAACAGAATCTGCTCTGTAGTGTGTTTTACTACTAAGACTCAGCTTTTAAATACCTGTGTTATAGGAAGAAGTGTTTTCCAATTCTGGTCCAACTTCTCATCCCATTTTGCTTTGATTTTCTCCTCCTCTTCTTTAGGTGTCAGAACTGAGGCTTCTATCTTACATGAGTTGGGTGCATTACCTGACAAAGAGAAACCAGCAGCTCACTTTATTGACCCTATATTCTTCACAAATGACTTTGTGGAAAAAGATCATGGAAAACTACAATGGATTTCAGTCCCTTTTTTAATATATATCAGCCTTTCTTAGCCTTTTTGTAGTCACGGCACCCTTGGAAAGTATGCAAACTCTCAAGGCACCCCAGTCTAAAATGTCATAGACTTTAAGGGGGACCCCACTCAAGAACACACAAACAGGTGGGTTTCCCCCTTCACATTGAAGTGCTCCCGTCAAATGAAGAATCTTCTCCCCTTCACATCAGCGTTACCCTTTGCATCAGTAGCCCCCCTTCCACATCACAAGCCTCCCTTACATATTGGAGTTCCCCCTTTCACAATAGACTTCCCCCTTTACATCAGGAGCCCCCTTCACCTCAATTTCAT